CTTAAACTGTTGGTTAGAAGCTTTTATTCCTTTCATCTAACAATAATCTTAAACTGTTGGTTAGGAGCTTTTATTCCCTTCATCTAACGATAATCTTAAACTGTTGGTTAGGAGCTTTTATTCCTTTCGTCTAACAATAATCTTAAACTGTTGGTTAGGAGCTTTTATTCCCTTCATCTAACGATAATCTTAAACAGTTGGTTAGGAGCTTTTATTCGTTTCGTCTAACAATAATCTTAAACTGTTGGTTAGGAGCTTTTATTCGTTTCGTCTAACAATAATCTTAAATTGTTGGTTAGGAGCTTTTATTCGTTTCGTCTAACAATAATCTTAAACTGTTGGTTAGGAGCTTTTATTCGTTTCGTCTAACAATAATCTTAAATTGTTGGTTAGGAGCTTTTATTCGTTTCGTCTAACAATAATCTTAAACTGTTGGTTAGAAGCTTTTATTCGTTTCATCTAACAATAATCTTAAACTGTTGGTTAGGAGCTTTTATTCGTTTCTCACGGCTACAAAACCAAACAAGAACAACAAAAAGTGTAAATTTTTGCAAGTTTGAAAATCTTTATTCGTCATTATTTTTATTGTACAAACAGAGCAAATTAATTCGCTTTGAAACAAAGACGTACATGTTCCTATAACTGCAATACACAGTGAAACTTTCCGTTTAGTTTCACAACAGAATAGTATTTTACCGAGAACAAATGACACAAGGTGTGAAAATCTATTGGTTGTTGCAAGTATAAAAGGTAAAATGAACTAAAATGGCACATTTTTTTTTCTAAAACTTGGACTAAAATAAATTAAATCACTGTTACACGATCCTTCAATAGATAGTAATAATAACTACCCAAAACATAAAAATACAAAGAAATCAATGGTATGCATTTACGCACTCATAGATGGTGTATATATCACTTTTCATATTCCGACTGTTTAAAAATTTGTTATTGTGTGATTAATTGCTGAACATTCTCAAAAACTAAAACATCAGTAAGTTGCAGTCACAGGAACCTCAATTCTATGCTTCCAAACTGCTCGATTTGCTTTTCTGAAATTTCACCGACTAACAAACTTGTATTTTTACCATTATTTTCAATGGTTCCTATGTTTATGAGGTAAATACAATACAAATTACAAATAACTAGGTATGATTTTAAAGATTTATACATGATCTGAACAAAGATGTATTATCAAATAGCCCTCCAGCGACACAACGCTAAGTCTGCGGACTTATAATGCAAAAACTGGGTTTCGATACACGTGGTGGTCACAGCACAGATAGCCCATTGTGTAGCTTTGTGCTTAGCTACAAAACAAACAATACATCACAATAATTATCAATAAAGCTTATTTTGTCCCCAGTGGAACAGAGGTATCTCTGCGGGCTTACAACGCTAGAAACAGGGTTTCGATACCTGTGGTGGGCAGAGCACAAATAGCCCTTTGTATAGCTTTGTGCTTAACTACAACCAATCAAAGCTTATTTTCAGGTCCATAAAAAACACCAAATTATTGAAATCATCCAAATCACTTTTCGTACATTTTTAATCTGTGTAATTTTAGTATATACTAACAGTAGAGATTAATGACGTCTCAAGATCAATGTAAATGTGCATCTGAAGGTATTTCTATGCGCGGAAATTCGAAGCAAACTATTTATATCAAACTTTTGACGTTGTGACGTCAAACATTTTTTTCTTAGCTGAATAGTGCCATTCAATTAAAATACTTCAGAGTTATGTAATGAAACAGTTATTTATTTATTTGATTACACATTGTTTGTGATTTTCCTAAATTTCTCTGAACACAGTACGAAGCTCGCAACCTTCTCAGGTTCATTAATTTACAGTCCCGTATTTAGGAAGGAATCGCAAAATAACAGGATGCTCGCCAGAAAATGTGTTGCAGAGCTATAATGTGGATCCTCGTAACTTTGACGTAAAGGAAGACAATCTTTATATGAAAACACAACCAAAGTACAAGGACAAGTGTGTAGTATGGTGGCTTCACTGGAGAGTAATTGAATATTGTTATTTTGGAATATTGAATCGTATGCTGTAGATAAGTTGAATTGAATGGTTCCAGGCTGACAAAACATGACATTATATAATAATAGTAATAACGATGACATTCTTCTCAGGATGCAAGCCTTACCCACTTGACTTATGGTCACTCTCACTTCAAAACAAGGGAATTTTTATCCATGGGACATCACCCGACTTGCCAGTGGAAAACATCACTTTCAATTTCTACTCAGTATGTTCGATATTACAGAAATGTTTCCCACGAGAAAGTACACGTGACACTCTAGTTAACTGGCCAAGTTCCACGAGTAACTAGAGCGCGAGTAACTTATGGCTCCCTTGACTGACTATGCATTAAGAGAACGTGCCCCATATATAGAGAAATTTTTTAAAAAAGTTACATATTCAAACTAAGGGAATAGGAAATACATGGTATGGCTGCATGCCTTAATAGGAAAGTCGAAAGAATTTTGAACAAAACAGCCCTAGTGTGAACACTTTCTGCTAAAATTAGTCCCGATTTTCTTCAGAGCTTTAAAAAAATTTGCTTTAGCATTTTATTCAAGGAAACAAGATGAGATAGGCCTAGTTAGATCATTTTGTGCTTAAGTTTCTTTGTGGTGAAGAAGTCGTCGTTTCTTAGGCCGTGTATTAACAGTATTAACATGAAGTATCAACAGCCTAAGTAACTGATTGGATATGCAAAGAAAATCAAAGAAAGAAAATTTATATATATATATTTCCTTTCTTTACCCATTTAAGCATTTACTTTCTTATTTTCAAAGCTACAAATTCATACAAATATTATGTATATAAATATTTTATTTACATGCTACATAAAAAAATCATGTCAGATTTCGAAGTATTTCACCCAGTATTTGTTTTTACACTGCAATAAAACAAACCATACAACACGTACATTTTAACAAGTATGTTACCATGTATTTTATGTCCCCTTACCTAATATGTAAAATTTTATACATTAATTTACATTGTGCTAGTTTTATTTCAGAACATAGATCAAGTTTCTCTTGTCTTTAATTATTCAAGGGAAACAAAGTCATCTCGGTCAACATTGGCAAAGATTACTGTAGCATTAAGTACATTCATGATGTTAGAAAAACACGTAAGTTCAAGAAATCAATTTAACACAAAGATGTGATACCCTATAACCAAGAGCGTCGAGAGCCAGCACGGGATCCCCTTTTCTCTGTCTCTAAGAATCTTTAAGAACTTATTAAAACAAAGGACCTAAACTAGGACAGCAACGAGCTCATAAACCAGATAAAATCATAGCAGCAGCCGTTTTTGCTCACAGTATAAGCGTAAAAACGTTAATAAAGTAACAACAAATATCTACTAAATCTATAAAGTAACAAATACATATTGATTATTACTCAAATTATTATTTCAGTCGTTCTTAATGTATCAAACGTCTATATGCCCATAGTTTTTGGCTTTTCTTTTTTCGTCGATGCTGGAGACGACACATGTAGAGTAATTCTTTTTTTACATTCACTTTTACGATCTTAGAATCTGTCTGAGCAGAAACGATATCTAAGCGGAAAATTTATCCGTATCATGATGGATATTAATATCGAAACAACGGCTCTCAAAAACAAAGACCTAGTAATCTCTCTCTTTCTGTGCATGCGCTACCCACGTGACTAACTGTTTTAAATCGACAAGCCCATGAGGCATCTTACTGCTTACCCCCTAGAAACGGTCACTATCGCCACCTATATCGTAATTCACGCTACACAAAGATAGGAAACCTAATAATCCGAGTGATCTACCTTTTGAAAGGGCTAGGGTTATAGGCAGGCCCGCCGACAGGGGGCAACTGCCCAGGGGCTCGGGCGAATGAAACCTGGTTATGCCGTAAAGCCCGCAAAGCATCTTTAGGCTATATCTTCATTTAATGATAAAAAAATACATTGCGTCTAGACCACTGTTGGTATTGTGTCATACATTGCGTCTAGACCACTGTTGGTATTGTGTCACTGTTGATATTAAGTGAAACGATCCATGAGTCATCAATTTTCATGAACAACAACTGTTCCGGTTCGAACCAGATTATACCAAATGAATTGTAATTATTTTCAATTGTATTTGTCATTTACAAATCGGAAAGTTGGGGTAAGAATTAATATCACAACTTTATTTGTGTTTTTAAACCTGGTTATTTACTTTAGTTGTATACTATTATTATTATTTCAATTAACTTTACAACGATTTACAAGAACTTGCAAACCAGCAAGCTCGTTCCCGAAGTGGGTTAAACATCGACAGCAGGGAATTGAACCTGGATTTCAGCGTCGTAAGTTCGTATACTTACCGCTGTCCGCCGAAAAGAACTACATTATATTAGTTCTAAGCATTATAATATGTCAAACACACTATATCTGCCACATTCAATGACTAAGAGGCCTTTCGCTTAATACCAAGGTCCATTAGTCAGACTGCAATAATACAGAAATAACAGTGGCTACACACACACACACACACATTATATATATATATATATTAATTTACTTATGAACAACTGGTAGTGTGTGAACCAGATTATAAAAATTGAATTGTCGTTATCTATCTGTCTATATATATAATAGTACTATCTGTTGCATGTCCATATAACTACTACTCAGGGTGTGGATGGATCTTCACCAAAATTGGTATGGAGGTTCATTAGGTCTATGCGGTTTTTATGGGTGTTTTTACCACTACTTCGCTCCCTGTTGATAGATCTTCACCAAATTTGAAGGTTTGTTGGGTCCATGGGGAGGTACATACAAATTTGCGGTTTCACGTTTTGTTTTGTAGTTTTTATGGGCGTTTTTTTACAATTGCATACAAGGGAAGCAACTTTATGTCCCAAAATAACCTTTCATTAAAGATGAATTTACATAACTTCCGTCCAGGGGACAGATACTCCAGCTAGTTATTTATTTCAATCGTTTACAAGTCAGGTTTTTAGAATAAGAATTAATAACACATTATTTTTTAAGACTAATTTTTATTTACTATGTTCTTCGTTATTACCGTTATTATTATTATTATTATTATTATTATTATTATTATAAGATACGTTGGATCTGTTCCCGTATTGTTTCAGTAATTCAAAGCATAACCGACTATAATCGCTTAAGTGCATATTGAACACTTATCAGTCAACATCACTATTACTTAACATCTCACTGACATCACCTCTGCACTAAGTGTTAATGTTATTCTATGTAGTATGTTACACCAACGGGAGTACTAATAATTTATGGGTCATTCATTCCGTTGTATTCTGTTCACAGACACAAATATTTTAATCGTACTAATAAAATATATAAAACATGACCCTGGGCCTATCTGCTAACAAAACGTTGCTCGCTATATCTTCAACTGCTTACTTTAGTCAGCAAAACTATGTAACAAATATTTGTTAACATACATGGAACTGTTTCTTTGCTACATTTAAATTTTATACAGTTTATTAAATATAAAATGTTCCATTCATTACCAAATTGTTTGTTTTTTTTTTTCATTCAACGGCTTGTAATCCAAATTAAACATTCCTGGTTTCGTACTAAAAGCTACATACAAGTTAGATTCATTTGGGGTTTAAGTAAAAAAACGTGGAATTACTACAAACTTTGTTATAATGCTATAATTTACTGTAGTGTTTCTCGAACGTTTTAAACAGCGCCTTCCTCATCTTGTCTATGGTATTTGACGCCCACACCCATACATAAAACAAAGTAGTACTATCAGTAAATATTAAAACTAGTGGATCATAGGTTCATACAGACATAGATGCAAGTATACAATAATGTAAATTTTTAAGTGGAATACAGCTTACCTATTAGTGGAAAGGGTATATCTATTTATTGGAACAGAGTAATTCTATCCGGGACTTGGTAAACGACTTATAACACTAGATTAAAGAGGAATTCATCTAATAATACGAGGGCAAATAAAGTATTAGTCGGATGCACAGCGCCATCTAGAAGTTACGATTTGAGTACCCAAACCATTAGTCTTCCAAATGACACTGCAGTCAACGAGTGCTCACAAACATGATAAATCAACGAGTTCCGATCGAGTGATATTTTTTGTAATTTGCTCCAAAGTCCGATGAAAAAAAAAACAGGACAAGTACAATAGATATTTCCTTTTTATATATATAAAAATAATGTCTGACAAAATACCCCATTCTTTGTTTTATTTAATAAAATAATTCGAATGAATATTTATCCTACTGGGGGAATACCGTTCCACATCTTAAATCTATTGAATTTGATCATACTCAACAAAAAACAAACAGGATTGAAAATTCTTGTACAACCTGGTTTCCGATTGGTCAGAAGTTCGGTTAGATACGCAGGCTCCAAAATGTTAGTCATTTGATCTCATGAAACTGAAAATTATTACCCTGCCATTACTACAAGCGTATTTTGTACTCAAGTATGTATCTCTCTCTTGTGTGCGTGCGGCGTGTACGTTGCATCAGTGGACATCCATCCTGGTCCACCAGCCTTCATATAAGGTACACATTACATCAATATGTAGCTGTTACCAATGCTGTATTATTTCCATAGGATTACAACTATCAAGCGTATTTGTACTCGAGTATGTATCTCTCTCTTGTGCGCGTGTACGTTGCATCAGTGGACATCCATCCTGGTCCACCAGCCTTCATATAAGGTACACATTACATCAATATGTAGCTGTTACCAATGCTGTATTATTTCCATAGGATTACAACTATCA